GCTGCCCGGACAACAATGCATTTTAAAGCCCTTTAAGAGACCCTTTTTTTCTCCCCCCTGAAAGTTCCCTTAATAATCCCCTTTTTTTAATTAAAAAAATAATGGGAAAACCCGCCCGGGCCCCCCTCCCCAGGGGGCCTGTTTTCTTTTTTTGGGCCCCAACCCCCCCCCCCCCCCCCCCCCCCCCGGCTCCCTGGGGATCTGTCTCTCCCTCTGCGGTTGGGCTGAGACGAGATGCTGGGCTGCAGTGGGAGGGAGGGGGGCGATTCTAAAATCTCATGGCAGAGATCGCTCTCCTAAGACAAAGTGGGGGCTGGACAGGGTCGAGGGTGGGTTCTGTCCCACCCGGTATCGTGGGAAGAGAGGGCTCGCAGAAAGAGGAGAGAGTCTGGCTGGGAAGTCCTGGATCTTTTCCTCCAAGGAGGGGACGGACAGTGTGGAGGCTGTGCTCTGCCAGCCACTGAACCCTCGCTGAATCCTCTCTAGGGATGGGATTGTGGACCCATTATACAGATGAGGATGCCAAGGCTCAGCGTGGCAAAGTGACCGACCCAAGGACACAACCAGGAATGGCAGAGCCGATCCAACTCAGATCAGAATCTGTCTGCTGCCAACGCTGTCCCCCCAGGTGCCTTGGGTGAGAAAGCGTTCTTAAAAATATAACTTTAATTCAAGATGCAAATTGGGGATGCTTCTTCTCTGGTTGCATTCACATTAAAACCAAGAGACCAGGACATACGAGACCAGCATCAGAGCCTGAAGGAGGGTAAGAGAAAAACTGTCCGTGTTGGAGTTGAGCAGAGGTGAGGCACCTGTGGCGTTCCCCTCCCTGGTGTATTTCACGAGAGCATCACTCATCCTTACTTGTGTGAAGTGGTTTGGGTGCTGCCTAAGTCAGAGGCTGGGCAAGATAGCACTTAGCGCCCCGTAAATCCCCTGGATCAGTGGCCTCAAGATTAAAGGTGTCTTGCTGCCAAGCCCCAGAAACACCCCCAAGCCCAGTGATTAGAGGGACCGGGGAGTGAGCAGGGAGGATGCTAGGAACCGCCATTTACCCAGCTTCCCTTCTGCACTCGGATTCTGGTTTACGGCTCGTTCGGAAACACCTTGGTCTTCCCACTTCCCATCCATAACTTGGGTGTGTGCTGGGCCCTCCTCCAGGCTCCCACAGCAGCTGGGACCCATTGCGGTGCCCTTTAGTGATGGTCTGTTCATGTCTCTTTCCTTCCAGACTCTGGGGTCCCTGAGGTCTGAATTCCCGGCACTGAGTCGTGAGTGAGTGTGTGAATGAATGAATGAATGAATGAGTGAATGAGGACAACAGTCTCCCGCAGTGGTCTCAGAAGCTTATAAGAGCAAAGTGTTAAACATGCAGGAGCTTCGCAAGCCCAAATTGTTACATGACTGGTAGCGTGAAACTGACCCCAGTGACATGTTCATACCAGGAAATAAGTCAGTAAATGCTACGAGTCGGCCTTGCCCCCGTCTTCAGGGCCTGTTTCCCAGCACACCATGGGGAGCTCTTAGCCGGCCAGGCACTGTCTTAGCACTTTACATACTAGTACAGGAATCTACATTTAACCTTGACAACCACCATGATCACTGCCGTTTGCAGACGGGGAAACAGGTGAAGCCACTGGCGGGAGTGCGGTTCCGTGGCCTCCCTGACAGGAAGGCGTGAGAGCGAACGCAGACTGTTCTCACCGTCTGGCTCAGCTGCCCATTGTGGCCCCACGGGTTCCAGCCGTTCTCATCACAGCCGCGGTTTTTAATCAGCTCCTCCGGACGAAGGGACGTGGCTAGTTGCCTGGTGACCAAAGGATGTGCCAGCCTCAGAAGGTCATGCTGTGGCGCAGGATAAAGATCGCCACACGGGGTGCCCCCCACGCGGGGCTGCAGACAGCAGATCCAATCAGCCCAGCCAGAGCCCAGGGACGCTCAGACCTCCTTCCTCCGTGACGCCAGCAGAGCCACGGGTGAGATTGAATTAGAGCCGTGACGGCCTGGCACGGCGCCAAGGGCTTGGTGTGCCGCGCCCGCTGCATGTGTGCGTCTGTGCCAGAGAAGGGGCAAAGCCCAGGGAGGGCTGGGTGTCTCCGCAGGGCCCCCCAAACTCATGGAGACGTCTGTCCACCCAGTGTTTGCCACAGTTGGGGACAGTCATGGACACACCCAAAGCTCAGCTTTAGGGCTAACAGGTCTCCAGGGGCCTGTTTACCCCGGGGGGCGGTCACCTGCAGGGTGTCAGTGTCCCCACTCCTCCGGGAGCTCCTTGGAAGTGGCGCCTGGACCCAGCCCGCGCCTGGACACACACATCAGGCCCCCCACGAATGTGCAGGGAGCCAATGAGGGGAGGCAGGAAGGAGCCCACAGCTGTGCCTTGGCGCTGGCACCTTCCCGCCGCCACAAGGAGTCCCCGATGACTTTTCGGAGCCCCGCCATCAGGAGTCAGGCCCCCTCGGTCCTCACACCCCAGCCTTCTCTTGGCTAAGGTGGCTTGTGCGGCAGCAGACCCAGGAGAGCGGGTGGGGACCCTGGGAGGCCTCTGGGAGGAAGTGATTGCCCTGAGATCTGAAGAGGAAGCCCCGGCCATAGGAAGAGGGAGGGGAAGGGAGTTCCGGGCAGAGGAACAAGTGTAAGTGCTTTCTGGGAGCTGACAGTGGCCAGTGGGCCTTGAGGCGAACTTGACAGTATAGACGGGTGTGGGGGCTCTCTGATCACCTGAAGGGCAGAGGGAAGGCGTCCTGTCCCCGGCACCATTCCAGGGCCTCGTCCCCAGCCACATGCACTGTCTTTAGCTCCGGGAGCAGCCTGCCAAGGGGAGGAGGTGCAGTCTGAGGACGCGTTTTCTAGGCCCCAGCAGAAAGCCCATCACTGACCCCTTGAATAATTTAATACCATAACATTCCAGGAACTGATGTTTTAAGTCAGAATAAAATAGTTCCCAGCAGTTGTGGGTCATTCCCAAGGGGCCTGGGATCCCCCTTTCTAACCCAATGCCGGTCTAGGCTTCTAGATTCCTTCTGACTCAACATGCAGTCTCCAGGCCAGCTTCCTAGGCCACTGAGACCAGCTGGCGTCTGACAGCCAACATGTCCCAGCCCGGCTGGGTCTCAGCACCACCTGCGGGTGTTTTAAAAATGCACGTTCCAGCCCGAGCTGGTTTGGCTCAGTGGATAGAACATCGGCCTACGGACCAAAGGGTCCTGGGTTGATTCCGGTCAAGGGCACACGCCCGGGTTGCGGGCTCCATCCCCAGCGGGGGCGCGTGCAGGAGGCAGCCAGTCCATGATTCTCTCTCATCATTGAAATTTCTATCTCTCTCTCTCTCCCCCTTCTCCCTTCTTCTCTGAAATCAATAAAAATACATTAAAAAATGAAAATGCACATTCCAGGAGCTGCCCCTCTCTGGGTGCCAACAGAGTAATGGGCAGCTGCTCAGCAGGTTTCAGGAGCTCCCGGTGGCTCTGAAAGGCACCTGCCCCTGGAAAGGACTGTGACCCCTGGCTTGGGCCTGTGGCCTGCAGCGAGGCACTCCCTCCTCAGCGCCATCCAAATCCCTGTGAGCACTGAGGGACCTGCC